AGGCTTGTAACAATAGTCGGTGTTCACGGTGTTCAGAAGCAACACTGATTCTATCACTTGCCCACCGCAGCACCACCCCCCACCGTCGTTTAGATTTTTATTATTTTTTTGTAATAAAATAATTTAGTTCAGTTAGAGAACAGACACTACAATTAAAAAACGTAACATGTCTGCTTAATAAATTGTGAGCCGAACGAGAGTTGCAGCACAGATCAGAAACAGGAGTCTTTTTAAATTAATTTATCATGAGAGTGAGGAGCTGACTAACAAGATGATGGCAGAATATTTAGTGTCAAAGCGAAATTGTCATTGTACTGTTTTGTTGTTGTGTTTTTCATTAAGAATAATAGGCTAATGAACTCACCATTTAAGCAATCCATCCCCGAATTGGCGCTAATTTTAAAGTGAAACTAAAATGTGCACAGCCATTCATAACGGTGCGTGTCCACGGGTGCGGAGCGAGCAGAACAGAGGGAGCGTTTTCAGTTCATTATGAATGCCCATCTGGACGTGCGCATTTTAGTTTCGCTTTCAAATGAGCGATTTAAAAGCCCCCGCCGGTAATACCGTTATTACCGGTTTTGTCACACTTCGATTAACCGGTGGGAAAATATCTTCACCGTCACATCCCTAGTTGTGATTGGTCTACTATGCTCTGATTTGTCAGATGGCTCAGTCTGTTGTGATTGGTCTACTCTGTTCTGATTGGTCAGATGACTCAGTTTGTTGGGATTGGTCTACTCTACTCTTAAATTCACAGTGTCAGAAATGCCCCTTGTTGATGAAACCCTGTGTGTGTGTGAGTGTGTGTGTACCTCAGGCTGGCAGACACAAATGGAAAGGAAAATGAGTGAAAAACTGGGCATTGAGAGGTTTTGCTTCAGCTTGTGGTAATGCAAGGCCATAATAACACAAAGAAGCAACAGCAGGTGGTCTGGTACAGTGTAGTGTGTGTGGAGAGCATCCCCTAATGTTCTCTGACCACACCCCTCAGAGTGGAGTGGGACAATAGAGCACTCTCCCTTTCCACTAACACGCCTCAATACTACAACCCTCATGTCATTACAGCCTAATTTGCAATAATAACTTCAAGAGCCTCATTTCCCAAATTGGAAATTGTGCAGTTATATTTCTACCTAAACAGACCTTTAAAACGCACTTTAGTAGATGTAACGTCAAGTTGTAGTAGTCAGGTTTATTTTGGGTGTGTTCACACTTGTAGTTTAGTTTTTTTGGTCCAAACCAAAAAAGAAAATAATACATCTAGTGCAACGCTATCTCACGACCAATTCGTACGAATTTGTACGAGTGAGTAAAATGTGACTGATTTGTATGAATTTGCACGACCTCACTCGTACGATTTTTCTAAACCCTAGTGACGGTTAGGTTTAGGGGCGGGGTCAGGGGTAGGTCATTCGTACGAATTCATACGAATTGGGCAACTCGTAAAATATGCACGATTTAGCAAAAATCGTACGAGTGAGGTCGTATGAATTCGTACGAATTAGCCACCTCGTAAAATTCGTACGAATTGCGTTGAGATCGGGTTGTCTAGTCCTGATTCACTAAGCGTTCACAATGTCATTTTTAACACCGAACCTAAAGATATATATATAGACCCCTTTTCAGTTGGTAAACATGGTGACGTTTTTATGTTGGCGGAGCTTAGGTGGAGGGAGAACAATCCCTCTGGCCGCTTACCTAACGCTAGTTAGCTAGTTTTGTTAGCTTGTTATTTAACAATTACTGGAGAAAATCTGATTTTATCTTAATGTGCAAGGTTACTCAGTGTCCAGGACCGCGATTGTTTTTTTTCAAAAGTTAATTTTAACGGACGGAACCAGATTGGCCGACCCGTAGCCTACATGCTCACTCAATGCATGGTGACAGGATTAACGTTACGTTACCTCGGTTGAGTGGCCTGACTTCTACACCTACCTTATAGAGAAACCAATCGTAAAGAAAAACATATATAAATCTTTAGATGCCTATAACTATGTGCTGAATGGTCATGTACGATCCGCAGTTCTGCCTAGCCAGCGCCAAGAAGACGACAATGTAAAGAGTGACATTACAGTGAGATTTTAATGATGTGAATATTTTCTAGAAATAAAAATTCATTTTTCATCGATTCTTGCACCAAACAACACAACAAGATGACATTTAATAATAATAATAATAATAATAATAATTTAAGCTCCTTATTATGTAGCCGAATCTCTACTGGTTTGTATTGGCCGCCTCCAGTTTTCACTTTGTTTTGAAATAAGTAATTACTTCACGACCATTAAAAATGTTCTATATAGAATGAATGTGTGTAGCACATGTGATGTAATCTGGACGTACTACATCCGCCATGATGTCATATGTGATCTACCAGCGTCAGTTGTGTCGCTTCAGTCCCATTCATAAATCCTCTCCCGTGGCCTCATGGGATAGTAAAGTGTCCATTGTATACACACTTCAGAATCTCGCCAGAAAAAGGAGGTCATCCGGGTACTTTTTGCCTACTCTTTTATGCATACCGTGAATTCGGACATACTTGTTTGTCACATGAAAAGATGGAAACTCCTCTGAGCTAACTGGATTCTGTTTTCCACCAGGAGATCTAATCAGCTTTTCCTGGGTTTGAGTTGACCAATTCTTTCATTCTTTTTCCCCCCGTCTTTCTGTTTTTTTTTTGTTTCGTAATGTCTCAGTTTGAAATGTTCCACCTTCTTTTCCAACATATAACTGGTGTTTTTGTGTTTGCGGCAAGTTCTTCATTGGAGAATATAGACACATGATCTCAAGATCTTTAGTTTATATTATGTTCATCTGGTCACTTGGAACATGAAACATAAAACAAATGACTGGTAGTTTAATCATGGCCTGTCTTTTCTTTGCTACAAATGAAAGCTCTGTTTGTTGCAGAAATTATGGAAATTACATAAAAATGTGCTCAGAAATTGTCTGTTTAAAGACACCATAAAACTCCCAATAAACTTGAAAAAGCCTAATCTTGTTTCCATACATGTAAAATAACCGCTGAAAATAAAAAGTGACCCAACAAACCATTTTAAGAGTGGAAACTGCATGGCCTAAAGCTGATAGACTCACTTATGTAAAAAAAAAGGGAAAAAAAGAAGACTTTATGATTCTTTTGTTTGTTATTAATAAGTCATTGTATATTACTTGTAATTATTGTTGTTTATTAATTTTCATTATGTTATTTGTATAACATGATTATTTACGGTTCAAAAGTTTTGGGTCAGAAGTATTTTTTTGAAAGAAAAAAATATTTTTATTCAGCAAGGATGCATTAAATTGATAAATTGATCAAGACATGTATAATGTTACTAAAGATTTCTATTTCGAAAAAATGCTGGTATTTTGAACTTTCTTTTTACCAAAATATCCTGGGGAGAAATGCATTACATTTTCCTCAAAAATATGAAGCAGCAAAATAAAATAGGTATATAATAATATCTTTCTTGAGTATCAAATCAAGATTTGCCATCACAGAATAAATTACATTATAAAATATAGTACAATTTAAAAGTTCTTTCAAACTGTAATAACAGTTATCAATATTAAAAATGTTTACTGTATTTTGTTCTTCCAAAACTATTAAAAAGTCTTACAGTACCAAAACCTAAACTTTTAAACATTAGAGACTAGTGTAACATATATATATATATATATATATATGCTGTATAAATAAAGTAGTAACTAATACATTTATAGAGGTTTAGACTTAAAAGTATTGAAAAAAATCTGCCAAAAGAACAAGACAAAGATAACGAGTAAGAATATATATTTTTTTACAGAACATGTCCACATTGTCACAGTCACTAATTAATAAGATGCAAATGTTTCCATACAGTAGCTATAATCCTGTTGCAATATTTATTATTTTGTATTCTACATATATAAAACAGTGTGTATGTGTGCATATGTGAATTTATATATATATATATATATATATACTATATATATACTGTATATGTACTATATATACACACACACACAATGAATAGATTTTAGGGAATATTATTGAAGTAGAGCACACGCGCAGACACACTCGCTCATTGTCTTGTATAGCGTAGTGTGCAACAGACAGACAGTTGGTCTTTTGTCCCACAGATAAACCCTGATCTCTGGAGGGAGGGGGTGTGTGGGGCGACCCAGGGTGGGGCAGTGCACTGATGTCAGCCGGATGATGTTACACTGCAGTGGGGTTACTGAGCGTTTGAGCGCTTGCGTCTCCTGAAGGGGGGTGTGCTGTATGACAGCTGGAGGACTCAGGACAGGGTGAGGAAAGTGCTGCCTGTCTTGCATCATCCTCATGGATTTCTTTTTAATCAGATATTTAGTATGATTTTCACAGCTTTAGATAGCCTTTGCCCTTCAGACCTGAGACATCTCAGAGGTGTACAAAGCCCATTTTAACGTGTGTTACCCATTTATGAAGCCCAGTGGTGCAGGAGACCAAGTGCGTAAAACTGGGAGGGACATTGTAAATTGAATCAAACTCTACTCAAACCAACGGATGGTCTTTTAAATGTGCTTTGACTAATGAGTGTCTGCTTTCTTTATCAGCAGCAGTAATAAGAGTTCATTTAAGAGTGATGGTGGCTGAATTCTGCGGTCTGCTTTTCCTTTCATGGTTTGGCCTTCAGTCGTCATTTCTTACTAGATTTAAGACCTGAAGGATCCTGCCAGAGTGGAAAAATATCTGTGCCACTTCCCCGTAACTGAGAGAAAACATAAGTCAGAGAGTACAGACTTTTAAGGCCATACAAAAAGCTCGGACAATGTTTTATTCATTTATTTATTGTCAAGTTAATTCATTTTGAGGAATTTAACTTTAGTTGGTCTAACGACATAATATTTTGCTCATTCATTTTGTCTGATAATGATTCTTCAAAAATTCCCTCTTTTTTGTGTTCAACGAACAAAAAAGCAGCTTTGGATTTAAAGGGATGTCTTTTAAAGATCGTTTGGTCTTGTTCTTTCAGCTGATGGGCTCGCTGGTTCTGGCTGTGGGACTCTGGCTGAGACTTGATCCAAATACCGTGTCACTTTTAGGAGAAGACGGGCCTGATACCTTCTTTATCGGTAAGCAGTCACTTGATAATATTTCATGACTACTTCTACATGGACATACAAATATCCAGATGTCTCTTTTTTTGCATTGTTACAAAGGGCAACATCCAGTTCTCCAAACAAATACCTGTGAAAATACTGTCTCTTGACTTATTTAAATATACAGTGGAGCTGAGATCACATTGAAATTATGCGATTCAAAACTTACACTTGAAAAAATATATAAACAAAGAAACGGCTTTAGACCTTTGAAACATTATGACATAACATGAATAAAAATGCAATATTTAAATAATAATTATAATAACTATAATTAATTCATATAAATCATAATAATTAGAATAATATTATATATATATATATATATAGTTCTGCAAAATATGTATTAAATTAAATTAAAAAGTCTTGTATTTAGTGGTTTGAGAGTTTTGGACCCCACTGTAGCTCATACTGTAAAACAGAAATAAATGTATGACAGACAGAGCTAGTGTTTATTGGTACGGGATGGAAACATCCGAGGCCGCTCAGGGTGGTAAAGTGTCCACCGCCGTCTGCCCAGTCCTCGTGAGACACTGTGAGTACATTTCAAAGGTTGGGTGTTTCTGAAAACAGGAAGTGACATTTCAAATTGTGCATACGTGGAGGAAACCACAAGACTTCAGGTTTTCTGTAGCAACTGTTCAACCTTAGAGGGCAGTGAGAAGAGAGAGGTTATGCAATGCTATATCTAGATGCAGAGGAGGGCACTTTACTTCCATGATGTCAGAAAATATACTTATCCTCCAGCAGCCTCCTCCAGCTTGGTTTAGTCAGTGACATCACCCTCATTTGTGGCTTTCAGTACTTAAAGCTGTGAAGAGAAGCCAGTGTGAAAGAGCATGACCTGAAGTCTCAGTTAAATCCCAGTCACAAAGTCACAAAAACTGTACATATATATACATATGTTCATATATCACAACTTGTTTCTTTGTCAAATCAACTTAAGTAATTAATGTGGTTCAGATAACATAATATTTAGATTTTCGGTTAATTAAACCAATCTCCAATGCACTCAAAATTTTAAGGCAACCAGGTAACTTACTTTTAAGTTAAACCAGCAATCATTTTAGTTCATCATCAGCTCAGAGGAAGAGTTGCAACCCTCATAAAACCACATGATAATTTGAAGGCATCACACACACTTGTTTGTCACATTTAAATACAAATACAACCCGCATACAATTATATTTATAGACTTTAATATTATTGAATTTATAGAAGTCCAACTTTTGCATTATACTGTTGCAGCATATGCATGTTGCTTTAATTATATTTTGTCAGAATACTTCAATAGATAAAGAAAGATGTTTTTACAGTATCTAGCAGAAGGGGTTAACGGGACCATGCTAACCTGCCAAACCTTAATATAAACCATCTGACAATGCTGAAAGTGACCAGTTCAGGCTTCATAGTCCTCTCTGTCTACACACACACACACACACATTTTACATGACTTTTAGATTATAGAGTTAGCAATGACAAAGTATGGTCTTCTCCACAGCTGTGGCAACGGTGTAAATATTACCAGCGTGTGACAAGATTGTTTTTAGTCAAGAGGGAAGATAAAAGTTTTTTCCACTCACTCTGTCACAATTTATTTTAGGTTCCGCTCTAATTTGCTCTCCTTTTTTTTCTTGAGATATTGGTGAGAGTCTTTTGAGCTTGAGTAAGTAACACTCCCAGCCCAGAAGAAGTTTATGGTCCAGGAAAAAGGTTTTTTTTTTTTTTTATGTTTTTTTTTATGCTTCTGTTTAGTGATGTTTGCAAAGACAAGTAGGCCTATCACCATTTCTCCTACCGAGGTTATAGTAGTTCCTAATCATTAAACCTAAGGATTATTTATGTTAAAGAAATGAATGAAACCTTAAATCATGCCACTTGTTGAGGAGAGCTGTGCTATAACCAGCAAGTCTGTGATTACCTATAGCTTTGTACTTGTGGCCTACTTCCTTGTGAAATTGGCTAAATATCCAACAGTCTGCTCAAAAAAATTAAGCTTGAAGTTATTTGACCCATAAACAACCAAAAACTCATAGTAGTACACATATACAAACCAAAGTTTATGCTAATGTAGGTTAGTATGTACAATCTATCACAATATTACTGTTTTGCTGTATGTTTGATTAAATAAATGAAGCCTTGGTGAACATGAGATTTCTCTAAAAACATCCAAAAGAGTCCAAAAAAAGTCCAAAAGACCCCCAACTTTTGAAACTGTTAATACCCTGACCAGAATGTTTGAGGAATATTATACAGCATGACTTTGAACGCACTAATAATTATTTAACATCAACATCTGTAATTTTTTATACTACATAATAAAAAAGGGAGGCAATATCATCCTCTCTCTCTCTCTCTCTCTCTCTCTCTCTCTCTCTCTCTCTCTCTCTCTCTCTCTCTCTCTCTCTCTCTCTCTCTCTCTCTCTCTCTCTCTCTCTCTCTCTCTCTCTCTCTCTCTCTCTCTCTATCTCAAGAGAGTTTATATCTCATTTCCAGACTTCCCACCTGCCCAGGTCTCCTGTGGCATAATTACAATGGCTCAGGAAGAACTCATCATGAACTAAAGAGCTTATGTCTCTCGATTACATTTTCAGGCTAGAGTCTGAGGATGCTGAACCTGTCGGCTATTTCTCTGTTGTTGGGGCAGATGGGAATTAATGCACCCCTTGCCCTCTTTCTATTTTCTCTAATGAGGATAATAAGATGATGGAAGAGGCTGGAGTGAAAGTTAATGACATCATCTTTAAGTGTTGTGTGCGGTCTCGCTGTTCTCAAAAACATGCTGTCATCTCACAAAAGGACTCATATAACGCTTGTGCTTCCCTCTGCTGGTGATCCGGTTATATTACTTCCTACTGAACAATCAGAAAGAGCTTTATTATCAAGTGTGCTTGCATACAAAAGTGAATTTACCTTGGTATTGAAGCTTCCAGAATCACTTCAGGTCCTGAGAGATGGTGTTGCCCATGTCCTGAATGACTCACTGCTTCCACGGTGCTGTTCTTGATGGTGAGTGAGCAAGTGCTGGGGTGTTTCTCCTGAAGTCCACGATCATCTCCACTGTTTTGAGCGTGTTCAGCTCCAGGTTGTTATGATTGCACCAGTCAGCCAGTTGAATGAGGGGTCTTTAGAGGTGCAGTTATTTGTGTACAGTGAAAAGAGCAGTGGGGAGGACGCAACCCTGAGGAGCACCAGTGCTGATAGTGTGGGTCCTGGATGTGAGCTTCCCCGTTCTCACTAGCTGCTGCCTATCTGTCAGAAAGCTGGTGATCCACTGACAGATTGAGGTGGGCACGAAAAGCTGGATCAGTTTGTATGATAGAATATCTGGTTTGATGGTGTTGAAAGCAGAACTTATATCCACAAGTAAGATCCTTGCGTAAGTCCCAGGTCTGTCGAGATGTTGCAGGATATAATGCAGTCAAATGTTGACTGCATCATCCACAGACCTGCAAGTGTCCAGTGATGCCCTTCAGGTTGGCCAACAAATGACTTCATGACCACTGATGTGAGAGCATCAGGTCTGGAGTCATTAAGTCCAATGATGTATGATGTTTTTTTGGGGACTGGAATGATAGCGGAGCGTTTGAAGCAGCAGGGAAGTTCACACTGCTCCTTTGATCTGTTGAAGATCTGCGTGAAGATTGGGGCCAGTTGGTCAGCGCAGACTTTTAAACAGGCAGATGAAACACTGTCTGGGCGTAAAGCTTTCCTGATCTTCTGGGTTTTTTTTTTTACTTGGCTCACGTCCTACACACAGGCCTTAAGTTGAATAGCAGGAGGGGGGTTGCAGGAGGTGTTGGTGAATGTGTGAAGTGCAGGTCAGAGCGGGTGTGGGGTGTGAGTCGGCTTTTCAAATCGACAGTAAAACACATTCAGATCCTCAGCCATTTGTTGATTTTTGCCGGGTCGTTGGCTGAGAACTGTTTTTTTTCTTCAGCTTTTCAGAGTAGCTTCTTTCAGCCACTCTGATCTTCTTTGTTAGTCTGTTTGTGGCCTGGTTATACAATATTTTATCCCCACCTCTGTAAGCATCCTCTTTGGCATGATGAAGCTGTTTGCTGAAACTAACAATCAATGTCAAGACAAAGAGGTCTTGTTAGGGTTGTTCTGTCTTGTCTAAGGTCTGGGACACACTAGAGGATTTTCAAATCTTAACGATTTTAAAACTGTGGGAGACCACAGACAGTTTCAACCAATTTTTAGCATTATAATCCTCCGAATGCACACTAGAAGATTAGTCCGGACTGTCTGTCGATTGCAGTAGCATTTCCACAGTGAGACGAGATCTCATGTTTGATATTTACGATTTGGGATCTTGCGGCTCCAACGCGATCGAGAGCAGTAAAATAATCGTAATGACAACATAAAATTAAGGATTTTGTGGACAAAAAGTCGTTTGCGACAAGCCTTGAATCAGGCCACACCCTCCGATCGCTAGGGGGTGCAAATTAGGTGCAAAATCAGTCTTAAAATCTTGAAGTGTGTGGCCAGCTAGAGGGTACATTTACACGACAACGATATGCTTAGAACTGAGAAGCTTTCCTCGTACAGACGACGCTTAAAACTGAGAAGCTTTCTTTGTACAGACGACACCATTGTTAAAACTATCCCCGTTCACACGGATCCGCGAAAACAACTAAAAACGCTATATTCTGCTGCCAGGCCATTAGATGGCGATGAACGATTGAACAGATAATGCGCATGTGCATGACGTCATTGTTTTCACAGATTCGCGTTTTTGTTGTTTACACAGAGACCGTTTTCAAAAACTTGCACTTTGAAACCCGTTTTCAAAAGTTTGCATTTTCAGGCACCCAAAACGCTGTTGTCGTGTAAATGAACGGCCAAAACACATAAAAAGTTTTACGTTTTTAGTTGAAAACGGTGTCGTGTGAACAGCCCCCTAGTTTTCATTGTGTTCAGTTGTTCAGTTTTCCTTTTTCATTGAAATCTGCATTATTGCTAATATTTCAATTGTGAACAAATTAATAGTAAAATATTTTAGTTTACACTCACCTAAAGGATTATTAGGAACACCTGTTCAATTTCTCATTAATGCAATTATCTAATCAACCAATCACATGGCAGTTGCTTCAATGCATTTAGGGGTGTGGTCATGGTCAAGACAATCTCCTGAACTCCAAACTGAATGTCAGAATGGGAAAGAAAGGTGATTTAAGCAATTTTGAGCGTGGCATGGTTGTTGGTGCCAGACGGGCCGGTCTGAGTATTTCACAATCTGCTCAGTTACTGGGATTTTCACGCACAACCATTTCTAGGGTTTACAAAGAATGGTGTGAAAAGGGAAAAACATCCAGTATGCGGCAGTCCTGTGGGCGAAAATGCCTTGTTGATGCCAGAGGTCAGAGGAGAATGGGCCGACTTATTCAAGCTGATAGAAGAGCAACTTTGACTGAAATAACCACTCGTTACAACCGAGGTATGCAGCAAAGCATTTGTGAAGCCACAACACGCACAACCTTGAGGCGGATTGGCTACAACAGCAGAAGACCCCACCGGGTACCACTCATCTCCACTACAAATAGGAAAAAGAGGCTACAATTTGCAAGAGCTCTCCAAAATTGGAAAAATGTTGCCTGGTCTGATGAGTTTCGATTTCTATTGAGACATTCAGATGGTAGAGTCAGAATTTGGCGTAAACAGAATGAGAACATGGATCCATCATGCCTTGTTACCACTGTGCAGGCTGGTGGTGGTGGTGTAATGGTGTGGGGGATGTTTTCTTGGCACACTTTAGGCCCCTTCGTGCCAATTTGGCATCGTTTAAATGCCACAGCCTACCTGAGCATTGTTTCTGACCATGTCCATCCCTTTATGGCCACCATGTACCCATCCTCTGATGGCTACTTCCAGCAGGATAATGCACCGTGTCACAAAGCTCGAATCATTTCAAATTGGTTTCTTAAACATGACAATGAGTTCACTGTACTAAAATGGCCCCCACAGTCACCAGATCTCAACCCAATAGAGCATCTTTGGGATGTGGTGGAACGGGAGCTTCGTGCCCTGGATGTGCATCCCACAAATCTCCATCAACTGCAAGATGCTATCCTATCAATATGGGCCAACATTTCTAAAGAATGCTTTCAGCACCTTGTTGAATCAATGCCACGTAGAATTAAGGCAGTTCTGAAGGCGAAAGGGGGTCAAACACAGTATTAGTATGGTATCAAGAATCAAGCTTTAATATTGTTGGGAAATTGCAATGACAACAGATTTAAAACATCCATCATCTCTTTGAGCTTAATAAATATTTGAAATATTTTTAAAATAAATATATTGTTTTTAGTTACCAATAACAGTAGTATACATTTTACAATAGAAAATTTCGCAGATATTACCATCAGTTGGAGCTGAAAACGCATAAAATTGCTTGGCGTGTTACATGTGGTTCTGGTCGTTGTATTACCTGTCATGTGATTTGTTGACTGTTGCTTTATTCTTGTGTCCTGCGCAGGGGTTTATATCCTCATTGCGGCCGGGGGTCTGGTGATGCTGGTGGGCTTCTTCGGCTGCTGTGGTGCTGTGAGGGAGTCTCAGTGCCTGCTGGGATTGGTGAGTGAGATAGTGCTCATTCTTCTGGTTTAACAAAACAATATTGCTCAGCTAAGAAAATGCTCAGTGAGAAACTGACAGTAAGCTGACATGAGGATGTCAACTTTAAATTAATTTAGTATTTTTTGTAACCATTTTTAAAATCTTGATAATAATAGTGTACTAAATGTGTCATTTTTCAAACAGGATGGAATGTTTTAGATTGAGACAAATCAACTAATACCACAAAACATCACATAATTTATCAAATACATTATCTTACTGATCCTTATGCTGTTTTAAACATTTCAATTTGAGAAAGGAGTAAAAAGAAAAAAAACAGCCAGAATCTTTATTTAATAAAAAATATGGAAAATAAAGTAGAAGTAACCCAGGTGCTGTCTCTCTTGCCTGGCAGTTTTTCGCCTGTCTTCTGGTCATCTTTGGAGCAGAAGTTGCAGCAGGAGTGTTTGGGTTTCTCAACAAAGATAAGGTACTGCTAAATTGTAAATGTGTTGAATCAGAGTTCATTTTGAAATTATATTAGTCTGACGTTTCTGACTCATTGTTTTTAATGTGTCATTTAGATCATTGAGGAAATAAAACATTTCTATGATGACTCAGCCAGAGACAACAACAACAACAATACAACTGTCCAGTCCTACCACATCATTGTGAGTTTACACTTTTATTAAATTATTTGTGTCTCTTTGTTGATGTAATCAGGAAGAATAAATATAAAATTTTTGCTTAAGACACTCTAAATGGAACCAATATTTACTTAATACAATGTTTATTTTTGAAATGTCATACGCTTATTTAGAGTCATATGTCGAAATATAAATCACTGCTATTTTTGAATTATTTATACAGTATTTATTAATATAATTTTGAATTAGGATCTCATCTAATATTTATTTTACTGTGGGTTTTTTTCAGCTTTATTTCAATTATCGGTTTTTAATAGCTTTAGTTTCAGTTCACACTAACAACACTAATATACTAAATATAATATAATGGTTGTATATTTGCCCAACCTTGTCATGAATGATTGAATTTGTAATGCTTCACATCTGCAGCTGAACTGCTGTGGCTCACCTTCAACGGAGCCCACTTTGTGTAAAGGAATCGAATCAAACCAGGTGAGGATTTCTGATGCAATAAGTAGAAAGTTTGTTTGGTAAATACCAGTATGTTTAGAATTTGAAAATTATAAACACTTCAGTTAGTGTGACACCTGTTCAACATGCATTGTAACTGAATTATGTAGAACAGTGGTTCCTAAACTGGGTGGTGCGGAGTTATAAAAAGGGGGGTGTGGGATAGTGTACAGTCTGCAGGGACGGGTTATGAAACGGTTGTGCGCTAGTGCTCCGATTTCCCATTGCGTATGGGTTTAACGATGTAGCGTAGCACTCCAATTTCTCATTGCGTATGGGTGGTGGTGTTGACAGGTCGCCCCAACCCCCATCATCACTCCCCGCCAGCTTGCCCGGGCCGCCACTCTAGTCTAGTGCCCTGGGCGTTAGTCCATCCTTGGCAAATTGTTATGTAAAAGAAACCTGTTCAGGATGATACAAGACCCCACTGCGAAATTTTCCCGCTTATTATCCGGATACTTGCCACATGATTGAACACAAAATATTCATTTGAAATATTTTATTATTTCAAAATGTCTCACAGTACCCACTTGAGCAGTGTGTTATCAGTAGTAGCGCTTGCTGTCGTGCAATTACAGACCGCGCTATAGATAGCGTGATTTAAGAATCAGAATTGAGTATTGCAGGGAGCCGTGTAAAAATATTAATGAATGATACATGGTTCTGCAATAAGAATGGACAAGTTTGTGAAAAAACTGCCAGAGCCAGGTAAACGTAAAGCAGACATTAAATTTACTTAAACAACTACACCAGACGCGAGCAGCGCAACTCAATAAAAGCAAATAGAAACCATTTTAATCAGTGAGGCTGTCTACACTAGATGCGGCACGTCACGACAAAATCCCGGACAGTAAACTGATGCCCCGTTTTATTTCTGACGTACTCCAAAGCTCTGACAGTTGAAAATATTTTTTCTACAAAAGGGGGTCCAGGCATAAAAAGTTTGGGAACCACTGGTGTAAAAGGATGTGGTACATACTAAAAGAAACATACTATCAGTCTGTCTCACTGTCTGCAGAAATGTGACGTGGCCATTGAAGAGTTTTTCAACAGTAAGCTCTTCATCGTCGGTTATGTGGGAATCGGAATCGCAGGAGTCATGGTAAATTCCAATATTTCAATGTAGTCAATTTAGTACATTTTTATTTCCATCTCCATTGAATTGAATTGAAAGCATTTATTGTCATTGTATTTGCATACAACGATATTAGGAGCGCTGCTCCTGAATGATGTTTGAAAGACATGCATATAACCTTATAACCAGACAGCCATATTACCACAACAAGAAATAAACTCTAGACTGTACAGTTACAGACTTAGTATTCACATTAACTTCTTATTTAGTGCATTTGTTTTAAGTACTAATAATTAAAGTGTTCAAGTGGTGATATTGCACATTGACATACTGCACATTACATAAGACAGCAATATAGACAGAAGTGAGATTGGAATAAAAATAATAAATGTAGTTAAATAACGTGACTGGAATAGTATTTTAACCCAGACTTACGAAGGTCATTTCATACAGTTGATTGGTGACGAACATGATCCAGGGAAACAACTCACTGTGTGATGGAGCCTATTGAATGCGGTTATAATGCCCTTAAAATTCAAGATATCAGGGCAAAAATGCCCCTGAATGAGTTTTATATTGATATCATACATAGTTAAGCAATATCAAGCGAGTGATGTTTTTGTCCCGAATAGCACGGGTGCAAATGTGATATTCAACGGTTCAATAAATAAGAAGTTAATTTTGTGTTAAATTTTAGACACAATATTGTCTATTTTGTTATTTTTGTCATTTTGCCAACAAAAAAGCCACAGCTGAACTGTTGTGTGCCTCCGAGCAACACACAGCTGTGTTTCGTTTCAGAATAAATCTGCTTTTTGAGCGAATCAATCGGGTGGACCAATGATTCAATTGCCCATTCATAAAGAGAGTCATTTACATTACTGAATGAATTAGCCGGTTGAATGAATCGAATGAATGAATGATTCAATGACTTACTAATTTAGACATTTACTGCCATCTACAGGCAGCTTTATTTTCTTGTGTTGAGTATCACTTCATTTAAAAATAATAATAATAATAATAATTTCATATTTTGCATATTTTGCCCCCCAAAAAAAAAAAATCTGTTTATTTGCATTTACTCATCCACATGTCGTTTCAAACCTGTATGACTTTCTTTCTTTTGTGGAACATAAAATAAGATATTATGAAGAATGTTGGTAACCAATCTCTTTTGTTTAGTAAATAAATCTAAATATCAATTCAGATGCAGCTTCTGAACAAAAAGACAAATCATGGCCGTTGTAGCCTAAACGACGTTTATGTGTAATAAATTCTCTGTTTAATCACATAAAATGTTTCTTTCAAAAGCTATTTTTTTGTAATGTCTATTTTATGCTTTTCTCATTTAACTCAATTATGACTTTATCTTTTGAGGGTAGATTCTCAGCCAAAATATGTGTTGCGACCAGTTTAGAATAATGTGCATCTACTGTATACAGTCAGGTTAGAGATAATTATTAAGGAAGCAAACAGTGTCATGTACGACTTTGTGTATGTGTAACATCTTCTCTCTTTACAGATTATTGGCATGATCTTCAGTATGGTTCTATGCTGTGCAATCCGGAACAGCAGGGAGGTGATCTAGCACAGTCTTCCTCGCCCTGACACGCATATACAACAATAACATTCCAACCAAGTTCAAGGGGTTCTTCTGCCATCCTATAAACTCAGGAGCTGAAAACAAACTCCATGTCCATAATCCTGTACACATAATCCTGTTTTAACCCTTTCAAATGGCTGGGTTGTCATTATTTAATGCCTACTGGTTAGGTGCCGAGCTGGACTTTCCAAGTGCGACAAAAAAAAAAGTGTGTTAATAATATAATTCAGATTGTGACTTCAGTTTTAGTGCACGCTGATCTGCGTTTTCATGCTATTCTTGGCTGTTGCTGTGTGGCTTCACATGTCAGATAAAAATATTGTGTAATGTGATGCCAGGGATTCTGTGGCAAACCCACGGCTGGTGGGAACGGTAAGAAGACCCACAGATGCCTTTCGCTTAATGTTTATACACAAAGAAAGTAGTCTTCTTTGTCACCAAGAGATTGATGAACATTTATGATTGATCAAAACGACACGCACATGCACAGAAAACCCTAATCTCGCATGCTGGAGATCTTTAGAGGAATCCTTGCATCATTAAAGTCCATATTGTTCAGTAAGTAAATTTCTCCATGTCCTTTCCACGTCAGGAAAAACACACCAACACATAGTTCCAGCTCCGTTTTCTTGCGATTGAACTCTGGCGAGGTTTCTGTTATGCAACACTGCCTGGTGTTCTGGCAAATCCACTCATTCTCACTGTGGATATTATGGTGTGGTTATTTTATGCATGTATCTATAAGTAAAGACTCAAGGCTGACACTATCTGGTGCCTTATACTGTCTGTCTGTGGTTGCATCCAACCATCTGCGCTGTGAAGACGAAACGGATCAGACATGAATAGCATTTGAATCATTCGTTTGATTCATTCACCAGTTGATAGCAGTCCAAGCAGCGTCCTTAAGGTTGACATGCTACTTCTAAAACTATTTTAAACATGCATTTATATGAAATGCATGAATAAAATACACATGCATTTGGTGACCTCATATTAGATTGATTCTTTTAAAAAATGTAGATTCTTTTGTGATTTTGCCAGTTATTGGATAGGACCGTGGAGTTAAGACAGGAAGTAATGAGAGAGGGAAATAGGATCGGGAAAGGACCTCGAGCCAGGGCACGAACTCAGGTCACTCAAGGTACATCTGCACCATATGGCGTATTTGGAGGTTTTAATTAGATTTTGTTTTCCGGATTTTCAACAACGTCTCACACTTTTGAACCCAAACATTTTTAACCTTAAAATTTTGATGTTGGACCTTGAATTACCCTTCAACTTCAAATGATCAAATTCTAAATGATTTCCAAAATGTAATGAACCAAATTTTCCACATAACTGAACTTTGCTCAGTCCTGATGTACTGCCTTTTTTTTTTTAAACACTTCTGTGTTACGTTACTACAATTTCTGTGTACATATCTGTGTGAGAGTTTCATACGTTCTTACTATAGATGTAGTGATCATGAAGATGTGTATTGTGCGGTTGATGTGTATAGAGGCAGCTTTGGCCAGTGTTTTTTGCATTTGAATATTAAGGTGCCTTCTTTAATTTATCCGAATAGACAACTTAAAGGGTTAGTTCACTTCAGAATTAAAATTTCCTGATAATTTCAGGAAATTCAACATGGAACATTCAAGATGTTCATGTCTTTCTTTCTTTAGTCGAAATTTTGCAGTTTCAATGCAGCTTCAAAGAGCTCTACACGATCCCAGCCGAGGAATAAGGGTCAACTGAAATTTTTCTTTTTTTAATCGCATGTTCCGGTTCAAAAATGTAGGGTAGGGCGAAAAACTCCATCTCATTTTCTCCCCCAACTTCAAAATCGTCCGACAACGTTGTTTTACCTTTTATTTGATTTTTTAGTAAATGCCGCTTGACTTATGCCGCGTTCCATGCAACCTGTAACCCGTGTTTTTCCAACCTTATACCTGTGAAAGTGCACTGGAACGGCAGTCAAACCCGTGTTTTCCCACCCGTGAACTCGTACTAGATCGATGTACTCCCAGTTACCAGCTCTGACGTCACATAGCCCGCGAAACCATACAAAAAAACAATGGTTTGTTTACATCTAGCTACCACAATTCCTTGCGCTCAGGTAGTTTGGCGTGACTGGCCCTCACGTCGTGAGTCGTGGTTTGAAGTTGGGATTTACGTGCTCAAAAACCTGCCTGGAACGCAGCATTAGTCTTTGCACGTTCGCTTTGTAAACACTAGGTCTGTACTTCCGCCTACGTCACGCTTGACCTTTCGATGTGACTACGTAATACGTGGCGCATCACACCTAGTGCAAGACGAGCATTTGTGGTTAAAAAGTATATAAATGTTTATTTTTTTAGAAAATGACAGATTGTTTCGCTTGATAAGACCCTTATTCCTCGGCTGGGATCATGTAGAGCCCGTTGAAGCTGCATTGAAACTGCAATTTGGACCTTCAAACTGTTGGGCCCCATTGAAGTCCATTATATGGAGAAAAATCCTGGAATGTTTTCCTCAAAAACCTTAATTTCTTTTCGACTGAAGAAAGAAAGACATGAACATCTTGGATGACGTGGGGGTGAGTAAATTATAAGAAAATTTTAATTCTGAAGTGAACTAATCATTTAATATTTTGTTGAATGATTCTTTTTTTCATGAAAGGATAGGAAAAGGGACAAAATCTCTCTTTTTTTATTATTTATAATGGGACAGCCATTGGTTGGTCAGATATATTTCTGCTGGTGCATCACTGCTGAAGTTCCTCAAGTTGAAGTGGCATTAGAGTAGCGATTGGGATACGTCATAGTCGATGCTAACAGAGAGTAACACATGAAACAAGTGTTTCGTTCACATTTAATGTTGAAGTAGTTCTGTCCTCATACCCAACAGCAACCTATCTGTGGTTGTTCAGACTGTAAAATAACTAGTATAGAGCGTGTAGCTTCTGAGTAGAGACTGTGTTGTAAACTATTTTTAGTGTGTCATTCTTACAATTTGTGTAAACGATGTAGAGATTGTTTGTACTGTAAACATAACACTGCAGTTTTTTTGATGTTAGTGTTTATAATTGTGTGTTTAATTTATTTTCTGGAGAACAAGTTAAAAAATAGCATTCGAGTGTCTCAGGAACATTGCAGCACGAGAACAAATAAACTTGTTTAAAGTTTCTGAGTCTTGTGTTTTTTTTCAGATTTTCATATCACCAGCGACATGTCGCAGATAAGACGTTCCATTTAAATAGGACCATCCATTGAAGTCAGATTTTGATGGGCGCATGGGTGGGTGCGCTTTCCCAAGCAAACCGAGTAGGATATACAGTGTACCACAGGACCTTAGTGGGGCCCCTCATCACATAACATCATCACTGGTTGTCTTTTTAACTGACTGCAATGGAAGGCACTGGATGTGAAATATTAGTAGCACAGTCTTGAATCCATGTTGTATCACATTACAGGCTTGAGGCTTGAGTCATGTGTTTGTGTGTGCGTGCGTGTGTGTGTGTGTGTGTGTGTGTGTGTGTGTGTGTGAGAGGGAAAAAATTTGGCACCAGCTTGCAGTCATAAGGTGAAAAGTAATGGTTTTACTACCCCATTCATTCTACATATCAAAAAAAAAAAAATTATCCACATTATTTATGCCCACCAAGTAGTTTTACAATGTCTCATCAAATCTTAATTTCTGACCAAATATTGACATTAAAAAAAATGTAAATGCTTTTGATATGAAACTGTTTATGTAGAAAGTATAAATGGAAATATATAAATATAAAATCATTTAAAAATGCCTAAACATGCCTTACCCTAAATGCCTAGAAAAGCTCAGAAATGTATATAGAAAATGTAACAGTTTGGTGTCACTATTTATATTTCTTGCCACATGAGCACCAGAATCAAACAGAAATGTTTGTTCTTCATTATTATCTTCTAGAGTTACTTCACATTAAAAAAATGTGCCTTTAAATACAGAAGTTAGAAAAAAATATATTGTAAATTACACTGCTAGCTACAATTGATCATGTACTAGTCAAGACTTTGTCTAGTCTTTCTGACATGAATTGCACGTCAGCTGCAAGTGAACGCTATACGCAGGAAGCTCTTGGGCAGAATCACACAGGCTAAAGTTTCAGCTACACCGCACATTGTGCACTTTTCACCTACTCAGATGTGTTCTTGGTTAACACTCACCAAGCACTTTAGATGTCTGTATATGTGTGAGTTAGTTTCCTTTACACTACTGCAACACATGTGTTATTCAAATCTTTAACTTGAAATTTTGACTGAAGCACACACACGCAAATAAAACGCACATATATAGTATATAATACATACAGTATTTATACATACTGTATAAAACATGTATTATTCTTTTTTGGGCTAAAAATAAATGCAAGTGTTATATTTCAATATTGCCAAGACTTAAGGATACAGTTTGTTTACAGGCTTGAGTACAACCACTGCACTACTAATTAATGAATTCCATGTCATTTTTTTTTATAAAAACTATCATTAGTTTTGTTAGATTTAGTTTTTTAGTGTCTTTCACATCTCTTAATACCATCTTACTTACAAAGCAGATCGAATATTTTGAAAAATATTGATAGAAAAATTACAATTATTTTAAAATTGAAAAGAATCACATACTTCACTACATCTTAAAAGGGGTTTTGCTTAATGTATCGTTATACACAGTTTCCAAATGATTCAGCAGTGTTAGTAGCAAATAGATTAGCCAAACAAACTTCATAATTTTGTGGCATTCCACATTTAAAAACAGCTAAAAATGTTAAAGAAACTTTTAAAAAAAATGCATTTGCACATACTAACCACAAAATTAGGAACATTGTGGAGTTAACAATAAAACACACATTGGTTTTAGTTTGTTATGGTCCTTGTGTCAAACCATTATTCAGTTCTATATTTCTTCTATTTCAATGTGCCCAAACAAATCCAAATTTCTGAAAATGTGAGCTGCTTGATTACCATTTGGTTCAACCAAACCATTACCATTTGGTTCAATGGTAATGGTTCAAGATGTCTCCAGTCCTGTTTAAAGTATCTAAATATGACAATTTAACAAGTTTAGGTTGAACAGAATCTTTTAATTCTGTTAATGTAAAACTCTCACCTCACTTAGGCAGGAATCAAACTTCCCATCTCTGTGTCTCTTTAGAGTCATGTAAATTGTATAACAATGTCCTCATAGATCTGTCTCCATGCTAATGTCCACATTAATCAGCAGCACCTCCATAATATTGTGCATATTCAAAACATTACAAGAAAGGTAGGACATAACTGTTAATGAAGGACATGTGTATAGAAAAAAAAAGATATTACAAGATTTGCTGGCTCTTTGAGTGCATGAATCATGACTGTAAGCTTTCGAATCAACCCTCACTGAGGATAAATCTGTCTCTGACCATACATTTCCAATAGAAAAAGAAACCTAATCATGTGCAGTGCTATAGCTTCCTGAATAAGCATATTGAATATGCTAAAGGTAGCATGTAAAGACATGAAATTTAACTCATTTAAGCCATTATCAATCTTCTCCGAAAACCATGTCTTTCAACACACATTCATGGCAAAACATAATAATTTGCACAAGATGGCGAAATCATGTAATGTCTTATAACTTGGATCATGTAGCCTTCCAGATTACTAAAGTAGGTTTATGTTTTTGTATGACCCAGATTTGAACGATACTACCATCTCATATAAAATATTACAAATTGTCATGTGACCAGGTTGGTTTGTTCTCAAGCATTTAGTTGCATCATAGCAGCATTGGTCTTTAAAGTTTAATTCAGTTGGTTTCATAGTGTGGAGATGTTTAGACAGAGTAAAGGTTGAATGGGGTTTGTCCTAAGAGGAACTCTCCAACACCGATGAAGTAAACCACTTGAGCAATTCCGAAGAGTGGAGCGATGACTAGCGCCCTGCAGCCGGCACCCTTCAGAAAAGCAGTTGGCCCTTCTTTACGCATTATCTTTCTGTAGGAAGAGCGAAATCATCATTACTACAACAGAAGCGGAACCAAATTGGTTACTAATTCTCTTTCTCAGAATGTCCGTTATCCAAGTTACTGGATACTATACCTGATGCAGTCTAACACGCCATTGTAGGTGTCTTCATTGGCACTTTTATTGAGTGACTGCAGCCGGGTTTTCACCACTGGATAGAGATGGATCGACCTTAGTCTTTGCACATAAACTAACATCTACTCAAACACATGTTGTTCAGCCAATCTTGAACACTCACCATCACAAGGACTGACTGCCACAGCCGCTGTACATCCAGCCACACAGCCCGAAATAAAAGACCAGTAAAAAGGCACATCGTCACCCTCAGATGTCTTGCCCAGCTGGTTGATGTGGGCAAACAGTGGAAAGTATATCACAGAGAAGGGGATATCCCTGCAAGAAGAAGTTCCAATGTCTGTTTTAGAGAGATACCTTGTTGGAAGTTCCTTGATCAGTGTAATTAGCCCAACATTCCTACCAAACAATTACAGCCTTAACCCCAACCTTCCCCGGAAATCTGAGAGGAATAATAGGCTACTAAGAAAGTTGTTGAAGGCTCTAATTCTACCATAATTGTTTGATGGCAATGTTGTTCGAGGACAAACATGTATATTGATCTAGGGACAAGTTCAACTTGACCAGGGATGTCCAATCCTGCTTTTGGAGGGCCACCTTTCAGCAGAGTTTAGCTCCAGCCCTAAGTAAACACACCTGAACCAGATAACCAAGGTCTTCAGGATCACCAGAAACTTCCAGGCAGATGTGTGAAGCCCGGGACACACCAAAGAACTAGTGGCGATGGAAGCTGAGTGTGTTGTCGATTCTCGGCTGCTGTCGTCTCAGCCCAAAAGCTGCGCTTGAACACACTGAAAGGACTAAAGGTGACGGTCAACTAGCATGTGCGTTCTGCCCCTGCGTGTAAGTAAATACTGTATCTTTCTACATCAGCAGGTATCAATAGTCTATATTCGTCATTCAAAAAGGGAAACTGACTCTAGGACTGCAGATATACAACTCCTAAACAAAGCAGTCCTAGCTTACCATTTTTAATATCAATCACTCAAATCACTTTGTTCATTCCATTTGGCACATGTTGTTATGAAAATATTTGTGCATTTGAATGCTCGGGATAAGATTATGTCAAATTAAAACAGCCTTGAAGGGATAGTTCACCCCAAAATGAAAATTCTGTCAGTAATTACTCACGCTCATGTTGTTCCAACCCCGTAAGACTTTCGTTCATCTTCGGAACACAAATTAAGATATTTTTGATTAAATCTGAGAGCTGGATCACTCCTCCATAGGCTTCTAAGGGATTGAAACTTGCCGGCCCAGAAAAGTTATTAAAGACATCATTAAAATAGTCCAAGTGACTACAGTTGCTCAATCTTAAGTTTATCAAGCGACTAGAATACTTTTTGTGTGCAAAAAACAAACAAAAATAACGACTTTATTCAACTATTCATTTCCTTCTCTGTGGGCCTCGAGTTAGTTCACGTAGTGTAACTGCACAGCGCTTCTGTTGTACGTCACATCCAAGCAACTGTAGTCACTTGGACTATTTTAACGGTGTCTTTAATAACTTTTCTGGGCTGGCAAGTTTCAATCCCTTAGAAGCCTATGGAGGAGTGATCCAGCTCTCAGATTTAATAAAAAATATCTTAATTTGTGTTCTGAAGATGAACGAAAGTCTTACGGGGTTGGAACAACATGAGGGTGAGTAATTACTGACAGAATTTTCATTTTGGGGTGAACTATCCCTTTAAGTATGTACTGTCTTTACTTCTTTGTTCCTATCATCACTTTTGGTTTTGTTCTTGTGCACTGAATCGTTAGCTTAGCTGAACAGCCAATCAGAGTTCTCTCTCTCACCGACGGACCGATGCCGATTCTACATGCTGAATCGGCCGAAAAAACCCTGACCGCTAATGGTGTGTAACAGTGAAAAAAAACGAAGCCAACCGACACTCAAAAACAGCCCGACATTGGCCAACGACGACCATCAGCTTGGTGTGTCCCGGGCTTTAGAGCTAAACTCTGTAGGAAAGTGTCCCTCCTGGAGCAAGATTGGATACCCCTGTGTTACACCAATATTTATTGTGGTTTTTAGGCTGGTGGTACTGTAGTACCTCCTATTTAGGTGTGTGGTACTTAGATTTGTTAAAATTCTGTTTACCCCAACCACAGTTTTGACTGGAATGGATTGCCCATTTACATTACAGGATGGAGTCTTACCTCATGAGGGTTGCACCTAGTCCTTTGTAAAGTCCCTGGATGCCCTTTGTGCGAAGCAGTTCCTGGGTAATTTGAATGGCCGACACTCTCCTGGTTGAAGCCACAGGACCCACACTGTAGGAGCAATTCAGGACTGGACTGGCCGTTCCAAGTTTCACAGTGTGGAGCATGGGTAACTTCCTCTGCTGAGCCACTGAATGTGGAAAAAATGGTCACAGCCGGTCAGATGTCTTCGTTCCCAATGAAAACCTTGCAAGTCTACTAAATCATATAGTGTGTTGGGTAAACATGTTTAGGTACATGAATTACGTGATGAAATATTCTCTGATTTGATGACTGTAAATGAAAATTGTAGATTCATCATGATAGAAGGTGAACCTGGGTCAGTATTTATGCCTCACCAAGTCGTCCTGCATCCTGAAGCTGGATCTTGAGCATTTCCATGGGGGTTGTTACAATAACCTGACACATCCCTGCCCCGCAGCCAGCCAGCATTTCCTGAAACACGCTCAGCTTGAGTCTGAAACACAGGTGTGTATCATTCACCCTCTTTTCATGCAACTATTCTTAAGTACTGTGCAATCTCTTGATAGAAGCGGAGGGAACGTACTCTCCCCTACTGAGTCGCTGGCGGAAGAAATCATTGGCGGCCAGTTTAATGGCCTTTTCAGGAGTCACCAGTGTCAGGTTGACTGCTGCACCTGTAGGAAGAAAACTTATGAGTCGATCTATGAAAAATATTTAACACAACATGTTTTAACTTCGTTTTTCTAAGGATATAATTCCTGCTTCGGATCCTCTTATAAAATATATTGTAAGAGTTGTTTGCAAATGCAAAACTTTCAACATTTGAAGTGGATAAAGTTTTCCTAAGACAAGAATGGGCATTGTTCAAAATGCATGTATAACTTTGATGAAAGGTTTTGATCCACTTCAAATGTTGACTACGGTATATCAAACATCTAAAAGTAAGTCACAGTTACATGTATTTAAACACATGCTGCCAAGACCAACACCCATTTCAGTCAAATCATTTTGAGTCAGTGCCTCGGGCAGGTTTATATAAAGGGTATAAAGTGCTGACATGCAAATTATGTTGCTTTATGAAGATGTCCTTAAATGGCTTTAGATTTCGGGAAAAGATGAAGGTCAAGAGATTTTTTTTTCTTTTAAAAATTCGATCAACTTAAAACTGCTTACCTCTGTACATTCCAAAGTATCCCTCAGACCGAACAGTCTTTATCAGACAGTCCATCCTAATCACAATAATAATGATCTGTTATTGTCTACTGAGTTATATCACCATTCTGAAACAATAGTGAAGCCTGAATAAGCTCCACGACCTACACGGTGAACGTGATTTCACCAAGTACCACATGTTCCTGGATCAACATCTTTGTTGATCCTGGATCAACTTTCCAATCAACCAATCAGATTTGAGGGACAAGTTTACAGTTTATGTCAAGTTTAGGCTTAGAACCAGGGTGAAGTACTTAAACATCAGTGTTATCATTACCCTTTGATTTTAGGGAAAAGTTATGGGTAGGGGTAGGTTTAGGGGTAGGGAATGGGTAAGGACTACATTTTGGGACAGGAATGTTGATCCAGGATCAACAAAACATGTTGATCCAGGACCATGTCTTCCTTGGCAAAATCACGGTGACCCACCTTACACTCACATTGTGTTCTGAGAAAGAAAAACGAGTTTTCAGGCCTCCATAACAGGTAATTATCTTACTTTCTCGCAGGAACTCTCTTTCGAAGAAAATGCTTTCTTGTTTAAGGTTGAGTAAACTTGCAACAAGGGTTCGGTGTAGAGTTTAAAGTGGATTGGAAAAGACAAAAAAAAAATCCTAAATTAAAATAAACCAAATGTGGTGTGCAAAACATACATGTTTTTGTAGACCCGTTGGCTTCCTCTTTGGTTCTGGAGTCTTGTCTTGGCAAGATCTATGGGGAAAACACAGGTAACACCCACCAGTCCAGCAACTCCACCATTGATGAGCTTGGCAGGGAGGCTTGCGAACAACAGAAGAGAGTGAATAAATCAATAAAAAAAAAACTAAGAAATCATAGTCAATGTATTCCTATTCTTCTATTTTACATTTATACAAAATCAAGGCACTGCTTTGAAGGTAAAGATAAATGACAAAGAAGCAAGGCAAAGTCAGACTGACACGAGTTCAAATCAACAGGCATCTCACAATAATACCGTAGCACCAAAAGGGTTTTTACTGAATACAGTGGTTGTGTTTCATACCTGATTGGTTGTTGAGCCATCGTGAGAGGTTTGTGGTTTGGTCTGAGGACTGAGGTAGACAGAGGAGCAGTCAGTGTGCAAAGCAGCAGAGAAGGGTTATATACAGAAACCCCTCCCAGGAGCTTCAGGCAACACTGTCGTTCACTCCCTCACTGTGTGTCTCTGCTTGGACTGACTGCACGGCCAATCAGAGGAGCAGGATCTTCTTACAGTAGAAGCATGCAAACAGACACTCACACTACTGCACACACACTTGCATACATATTTAAGGATTTTAGGTGAGTACATTTGAGTGCGTTCTTAAGTTTCAGAATAAATCTTTGAAAAAAAAATAAAAAAAATAAGAATGTTGGATTTCTTCCAAAACATGCTCATACTTGTCCAGAATTTTTTACCTGATTGACTCTAATAAAATATTTTTTTTTAAATATTTCCTTTCATAATATTTATATATATATATATATAAATAATTGTTTTTTTTTTACTTTTATTGAATCATTTGTGAGAAGTGTAAGTTACACGAAGAACAATCGTGTTGATACAGTATTTCATATACTTCAAATTGTATTGTGCTGAAATCTAAAAATGTTCATATATAGCAGGATTTATTTTTAGTTACACTTCAATTTATGCAAAATTGATTTACATCAAATTCACTTTTAATAGTTCACATGATTGTGGATTTGTACTATTCACTGTAAAAAATATAAATAAAGATTATTAGAGTACATTTTACAAGAGTAAGTTTTTCTTTGGCAGGTTTAATTTTTGTGAAACTACCAGCAATTTCTGAGTGAAAATTGTTCCAATTTTCTTTTCAGTGTTGTTGCCTTATCTGGAAGCACTGAAGTGTGCAAACGAAGTGTGCTTAATGAATATGCACTTGTAGTGTACTTCACATCTTAAAAGTATACTTTTTAAAAAGTGTACTTGCAGATGATATAATATTACATTTTAAGGCCATTTAAAGAAAGTACGCTTTCATAACTATATCTTTACACACTTAACTAAACTTAAAAAAAAAAATCGGTAACACTTTACATTAAGGTTAATTAGTTAACATTAGTTAACTAACATGAACTAACCATGAACAATACATTTGTTATGTAGGCCTATTTGTTTATCTTTGTTAATGTTAGTTAATGAAAATAAAGCTGTTCATTGTTTGTTCATATTAGTTCACAGTGCATTAACTAATGTTAACAATATTTTAATAAAGTATTAGTAAATGTTGAAATGAACATTAACAAAGATGAATAAATCCTGTATAAGTGCAGTTCATCATTAGTTCATGCTCACTAATGTTAACTAATGAACCTTATTGTAAAGCGTTACCAAAATTTTAAGTTTTACTTAAAGTAAAACAAAGGAATGGCAATGGTACTGAAACATACGAACAGAGACACCAAGAAAAAACGCCGTTCATTGGATTTGATCGACACCAGGTTCCAGAACACATTTTTCAGATCTCTGGTTAGCAAAGTAGACCCTATAACCTGACATTAGTAGAATCCACACAATCAATTACAAGTAATAATCAGTATATCACCCACCTCAAGAATAATGTTCATAATAATAATAATAAGTATTTTTCCCCTTTTTGCATTTGAAGAGTGTGATGTTCAGTTACTCTGTGTTTGTTCATTTTGCAGGATCAGTACAGATGACTTATGGGAGATACGGTGCACGATGTGTGGAATCACAACCCCATATTGATGAGGTGATTGTTATGGAATATCAGTCTCAGACAGATGGTTAGCAGAAATAAGGGTAGACTTTATTGCAGCAGATGGTAAAAGCAGGTAAGCTTAGTGGTAAGTTAACAGGTAATCACGACTGAAGACGCTTGAGACGCGAGGAAGTAGAAACACTCGCAGGAGAATCGCAGATGATACTCTGGCGCTACGAAAGCAGTCTTTTCTTTAAATTAGACCAGACGAAGTGGGTGACCGATGTGTGTGTGTGTGTGTGTGTGTGTGTTAATGAAGTGATGATTAGTGGCAGGTGCGGCTGAATGAGTGCAGGTGAGAACCAGAGGGGATGCTGGGAAATGTAGTCCAGAGTGTGAGTGAGGGAGTGTAGTGAAGGAGGACCGGTGCGCTCGTGACAGCGATGTCACAAGTTATGTCATTATTCCTTGCCCACCCATCACACACTATAAGCTAACGCACTGCGATCAAGTCTTTTTAAATGCTTTGGATGACCTTTTCCATTTGCAAGAAATAAATTCCCTCTAAACATCCTATATAGGCTACAGACCCAAGGAAGAGGGCAGCAGTTGCTGTGCCAGTCGTGACAAATACAGGAAAATCCTTCTCAATTTGGATGGGTCTTGGGATATGTCTCTATATTTGTGTAATTGATAAACATTAGGTTTAATTCCCTCTAAAGTAGGACTACATTTATTTATTAAAGGTTTTTTTTTTTTTAAGCCCAGTGTCAGTGAAGACGGACGGAGGGTGTAAATCCTGGTGTTTGTGGAAAATGTGAAGTAATATCTCCCAGTTTTCTACTACGACGTTGCCCTGATGATTGAGGTTAGTTTACACACACCATGCAGAACTGCTTTATCAGGGTAGTCCTAAATAAAAACAACAAGCACTTTTGTTTCTTTGGAGTTCTTGACATGGCAAAAATGCACTTATCTCAGGAGTGTTTGTGATCAAATGTTTTGTTTGTCGAACTTACATTTAATGTAATGCTGGGTAAGATTTGTGACCAAGAAACCTTTAATATTTGTGCTTGAGAGCTTAGAAGTCGTGCATTTCAGTAACACTTTACAATAAGGTCTCGTTTGTTAACATTAGATAATGTGTTAACCAACGTGAACAATAACAATAAGCAATACAAATGTTACAGTATTTATTAATCTTTGTTAACTTTAGTTAATAAAAACAATCGTTCATTGTTTGTTCATGTTAGTTCACAGTGCATTAACTAATGTTAACAAATAGTGTGCGAGAAGTGTATTTTAAGCTATATTTTTAAATTACAAATTAAGATATATTTGAGAAGAGTATTAAAAATACATTCTATAGAATGGTAAATAGTAGAATAGAATAGTATGTCACACTATAGTGTGTTTAATTAAAATACCCTTGAATAGATTTTTTAAATACATTTTAAATATACTAAATTGCAAATTCACTATTCGAAAATTGAATTAGAAATATCTTTAATTAAATAATAGTGTAAATTAACCAACATTAAAGTATATTTTAGTTCACATTAGTTGCTTGTCAGTACATTCGGAAGTACACTTTAACCATATTTAACCAAACTTTAACCAAAGACAATGGAAGTAATATAAAATTGAAATTATATATAAAAGTCCCATTTGATTTGGTTAAAAAAAATCACTCTTAAGTTCAACTAATTGTGTTTAATATCAATTTAAACTATAATACATGTGAATTCAATTACAAATAGGCCTAATATTTGATTTCGGCTTTCAAAAACATTCACAATTCAAGTGTATTATGTTAAAGTACATTATTTGCGTAATAAGTAGCCTACACTTTATAAAAGTAGGCTACTTATTTTTCACAAGAGAAACATTTTTTTTTCAGTTTCAGTTAAGTTCACTACTTTTAAAGAAACTTTATAAATGAATTAATTTATAATGGCATATTTAAACTTTTTTTTTTTTTACTTTGACTGAAGTAACATATTTATTTAACTTTAACCAAATTATAATATTAGTTTAATTTAATTATATATTTTGTTGATTAAGTAAATTTATAAATCACGATGATTAAAATCAATATGGCAAGTTGAACAAATTAAGTGCAATCACTGACATAGAAAACTGTATATAAAACTCCTTAACAGAAATACATTTGCCTTGAATGCAAATTCTTGACTTAAATCTCAAACGATTAATCGATGCACCGACTGGCTTTCTGCAACATGAAAACAAAACTGATTACGCACAAAATGGCTGTTGTTTGTTAGACGACTATTTAAAAAGAAATGACAATGGAAAGTGTTGCTCCTCTTTGGTTATCATCAGCCCTTTTCACTTCACACTCAGGTGAGGATTTTTCTATGAGTTTACCAAAGAATCTTTAAACATCCTCTTTCGCTTTAGTTGTGCCACATTAAACACTCTAGATGAATAAATAAAAAAAGTAAATAAAAAAATAAAGGTATGACAAAAACCGGGGCAGTATAATGTGTTTATAATTTTCTTTTTGTTTTCACTGAAAAAAAAAAAACTCTTAACTGAAAAAACACTTCACTTGATATGTTTCATACTGTTATGACCATACATTTAATTATAATTTTTTTAATTATTAGTATCTGTTCTGCTTTATAGTTATAGCCTAATGGGATAGTTACATCGATAATAAAACCAAAAATCACACAAATCCCAAATGTGCTTGCAATTTTCATAAAATGGCAATATCAGACACAATTTTATCATTTCTTTTTATTTTTCAGTTTCCTCAACATTATTTATACACTTTACTGATTCCATAATAAAACGTGTTTTTTTCCTGACACACATGCAAACATAGTTGTCAAGCTGTGCAATTAACATGTTAATATATTCTGCAAACCCTTCTGATGTAACCAAAAAAAAAAGTAATTAGCAATTTTTAAAAGGTTCTCATACATAAAAGATCAATGTTTTATTGTCAATGTGGACATTTTTAATAATTTTTTTGTTAAACATGTATTCTGGTGCTTTGATTGTGTTTTTCTATGGCTAGCAAAAAGGAAGCCTTTGGTTTAAAAAAAAAAAGTAGTGAATGATATTAGGAGTAACAGTAAATGAGACTTGAGTGTTTAATGCAGAGATTGACAGTGAAAAAGATGCGGACAGGAGAACCAGAACAAAGACCTTCTGTCACCTGCAATATTCACTCATTCATCAAAAATTCATAGCTGAAATCTATATAAATACTTGAATTGAAAAAGACTTTCTAACAGAACACAGAAAAGGTTATCCGAAGAAAAGGTCCAGGTTCTTCGTCCTCAGACTGCTCGCAGGTGCTCGGAACATTTGCTGGGAATGTGACTTGGCTTGTAGACACACTCGTTCTTGGCAGTGTTGCATTTTGTGCAGCGGCACCGGTTTGCCACGGGGTAAAAGAAGAGGGGGTCGATGTGGACGGGACAGCCGGGCATCCTGGCAGAATGATAGACCACAGAACGATGCATGCATCCTCTCTGAATCAGGAAACGCTTGCCCACAAATCCTCTCATGTTCGTGTCCTGTCACATACACAATACACAATACACAATACACGTGACATTATTATTAGCTCATTTCACGTGATATATGTAGTCTTTCTGGCATTTTGATTCATGACAATTTCTCAGGGCCAAATTGAGTCAGGATGGTTTATTTCACAAGCAACATTTTAAAAATATATCAGACTGGCTAATGAGACACAATTGCTCTTATTAATGAAATTTCACGTAATGTAGGCTATATGCAGTGTGTGTTATGACCCCAAAACAAGTCATTTATGAATAATGTTCTCAGTAACACTTTAGTTTAGGGTCCAATTCTCACTATTAATTGTTGCCTTATTAGCATGCATATTACTAGGATATTGGCTGTTTATCAGTACTAATAAAGCACATATGAATGCCTTATTCTGCATGATCATATTCTACATCCCTTAATCCACCCAATATCTAAACTTAACCACTACCTTACTAACTATTAATAAGCAGTAATTAGGAGTTTATTGAGGAAAAATCATAGTTAATAGTGAGAATTGGACCCTAATCTAATCTAAAGTTTGACCATATGTCTCTGTTTTTATTTTTGATCTCTTTTACACGCACACTGCAAACACAAAAAAGCATAAACAACTATTTTCATATAAAATGATATGAATAAGATAATTTGTTTGATTCAATGCTTTAAATATATTCAATATTAAATTCTAAAATAACAATGATTTCTGAATATTTTGAGGCTTCACTTAAGAGCTCTTTATAGTAAAACATCGTCATGAAACCGGATGGAATCGGTGGCTTTTCTGTCTCATATCATTTGAGATGTCCATGAGTGTGTGTGTTGTTACCTGTGTGAAGCACATTCCGCTGCACATGGTGGTGTTGACGGCCATGCAGTGACCGCACTCGTGTCTCTCCACGTACAGCGTGTAGTTCTTCAGAGAGCAGGCCAGGAGAACATCTCCTCCCATCAGGAAAAGCAGACTGCAGAAAAACAACATCCTCATCTTCATCCAGCAGCTGTCCCAAATCCAAAGCCAGCTCACAGTGTTTTGATCAATGCGGTTGAGAATCCTTCATATAATAAGGGTAGAAATGAAAAAAAAAAAAGTCCTCCTTTCACCCAAATTTTGCTTTAGTCAGAGTTCCTCGTTTGCTTTTTAGACTCACACTAATCCCAAATGTTGTTGTGTGCCTCTTATCTGGCTCTGCAGGGGGGGAGGGTCCTCCACAACTCAACGTGACACCAGGGTGAACGGCCACGCACTGCCCCGCTCCAGCTTCTCCTGATGTAACAACAAGTGTTCGCTGGAATTGCTAATCAGGCAATCAAGGAAAACATCTTGCATTTGATTTCAGGTGCCCCCATTTATGTAGCAACATGACTTACTGCATTTATGAATAATTGTATCTAAACAATTTGATTAGAGACTGTAAATACTTTTAAAAAAGACCAGTTTATAATCTCCCTTTACATGTATGGTTAAAATCAAACTAGATGGCAATTTCTAAGCTATGGCAGAAAATATCTGATATAAACACAAATTCATGAAAATATCCACATATACAGTATATAAACACATCAACATTAAGCATTGATATATTCCCATTTGTTCCCATAGATAGATAGTATAGATAGATAGATAGATAGATAGATAGATAGATAGATAGATAGATAGATAGATAGATAGATAGATAGATAGATAGATAGATAGATAGATAGATAGATAGATAGATAGATAAAGGGAAGGATAAAGGGATGGATGGATGGATATTAATAAATGAATGGATGGATGATGGATGGATTGATGGATGGATGGTTGGATGGATAGATGGATGGATGGATATGAATAAATGGATGGATGGATGGTTAGATGGATAGATGAATGGATGGATGGGTTGATAGATGGATATGGATAAATGGATGGATAGATGGATGGTTAGATGGATAGATATATGGATGGATGGATGGGTTGATAGATGGATCTGGATAAATTGATGGAGGGATGGATGTATGGATGGATGGATAGATGGATAAATGGATGGATGGATGGTTGGATGGATAGATAGATGGATGGATGGATGGATGGTTAGATGGATGGATGGATGGATGGATGGTTAGATGGATGGATGGATGGATGGATGGATGGATGGATGGATGGATGGATGGATGGATGGATGGATGGATGGATGGATGGATGGGTGGATGGATGGATGGATGGATGGATGGATGGATAAATGGATGGATAAATGGATGGATGGATGGATGGATGGATGGGTTGATAGATGGATATGGATAAATCAATGGATGGATGGATGGATGGATGGATGGATGGATAGATGTATGGATGTATGGATGGATGGATAGATTAAATGAAAACAGCGCATTCATATAGAAAGGTGATTAAACTGACTGTGACATCACTGTAAAAAATGATATGATCAATAAGTTATGACAACATGTGGTTTTACATTTACAACATGTTTTTACATCTCATCACAATAAGTTTAGCAATTTTCATCTTTTTTATGTTATTCAAGATTCAACTTATTCTTCTTAAGTCAGTTTAATGTAATTTAAGTTGAAAATGACTCAAACATCCAAGTTAGTCGTATTTAAAAATTTAAGGCAGCAACTTTTCAACAGTTTTAGTGCACACCTTCCAGCCAAACAGGGTATTTAGACAGACCATGGTATAAATCAATTCTTTTATTGTTTAAGACTATTTTATTCGAAGTCAAAATATCATTTAATACGACTGTACATCGTCTAGATATTAGACACTGACAAACAACGTTTTTAAGGGTCAAATCAAGTGGAAATAGCTACTTTGGATGAAATCTGCACAATTACACCTTTTACATTGTGTGTTTGCTGAGCTTCCCGTTCGAAGAGTTTTCTGTCTATATCGAACTGATCATCTTTATGCTGGTTTTGATCAATTGTCTTCGTGTTGCATTTCCTGCCATGTCCCAGTTCTGGGTAAATGGGTCTGTGCAGAGACGGAGACAGCGGCTGTTTCACGTGTTGCGTCGTTCACCTGGACACTGTCTTCCATGTCTAATCCTCACTAAAGCTCCGGACATGTGCCAGCTTCAACATGCTTCCAAACTGCAGCTATAGCAACAGCGACTGCTGATCAACATCTCAAAAATTAGTCTCAAAGATGAAGAAAAAAAACACTCATCATATTTTCACAAAAATATTATTAGATACTGAATGTTAAATATGTTAACTCATTAAACATGTTGTATGCTTTACAGATAAATAAATACTGGGTTTATTCAAAACAAAAAAATATTGGGGTGACACTTTATTTTACAGTGTCATTGATATATGTTTTTCATGTAGTTACTGTAGTAATAACTATAAATTATGCATAATCACATGCAACTAACCCTCAACCAAACCCTAACCGTAACTCTATAGTAAGTGCATGTAGTTTATTAATATTACTCAGTACTTAAATGTATAATTACACTGTAATAGGGACACATTAAAATAAAGTGTAACCAAAATTACTCATTGAATTATTTATGACAGGATACTCACAACTACATTAGCTTACCCTAAAAAAGTCCTACACATCCATTTTTACAGGATTTCTGGATGTACATTAAAAAACTATTAAACATTATATCATGTTAACTGACATTATCATATTTTTTTATTATATTAAATGTGTCTTTAAAAGTCTTAAATGTGAATTTAAGATGATTGAAACCGCACAAATACCTTTTTAGTTTGAATTAGGTCAGAGGAAAATATTTTAAAAATCATGTGGTAAAATAATGTGTTGATTTTGAAATTGCTATTATTAATTGCTAAAAAGTGCAATTTCTACCTGTTTGACCCTATTTTTGTGTGTAGTGTACAGTCAGGTTGATTCATATATGAATCAGTCAGGTTAAATGTATATTTAATATATAGAAAAAAATATAATAATCCCACAAACCATTTAACACTTAAATGAACTATTGAACCCTGGTTCTCCTGTCATTAGATCTGTACATGTTTTCATTACATAATTCATCGTGACACTTGAAAGGAAACATGTTAAACTCAATCGGTCGAACGATCAGACTTGTGATATATATAAATGGGTCAGATACAGCTGAATAATGAGGAATTTAGCATTTTTTAATGTTTTGTTCATGTTGTTCTTTTTTTTATTACACTCATTTAAACATGTAATATGTATAAAATACACATTGCAATATAATTCTCAAAAATCTTTTAATAGATTGTGTAAAAAACAGGTAGTAAAATCAGAATAAGAATAACGTATACTAGTAGTAGTTTATTTTTTGGTTTTGGAAATTATAGTTCCAAATCCCAAATGAAGTTCAGTCTCTTATATACATACAGCTCTCCATCAATCAGTTGACCTACCTGCAAAGAAACCTTCAAATATACATATTAAAAAAGGAAGACACTTTATCCACTTGTTCAGGTCAACCGAGCCATGAAATATGACAGAACGCAGGAGAAAAAAGCCTCAGCATGGGGTGATGTGTGTGTTTGACCACAGCATTGACTCCAGGTGACTGTAACTGAATCAGTCTATGTTTAGTGCACTGTCAGCCTCAATAATTACACTGTCGGGGTTAGCAGAGTTTATATAATTAGGATGATAGTTGAGCCCTTTATAATCTAAAGATTCTCTAGGGCGCACAGAGGATTCCAGGAGGACAATATATGGTTGTGCAATCAGTTACATTCACACTCGCCAGCAAGTCGACCTGGTCACGTTGAACATGGGACATGGAAGTTAACGCTAGAGGGCAACGTGATACACGCTGGTTGCTCCAGGAAAAACTAGGTCACGGGGATACATGACCCATCCCTATTTTTTGTGATGTCTCCTCAGCCATATCTTCTGAGGGACAGCTGAGATAGGAGCCTATTTCAGCCAAGGTCAGAGGTCAAAGGTGAATGTGCAGTTTTATTTCAGATTTAATACCTATATATATATTTATATATTGTGGCGGGAGGAGCAAACGGCAGACACAGTGGGAGTGGTGTCAGGCCTCGGAGAGGCATTTATTAAAGTAAATTAACATAAAATGTCCAGAAATGGGGGAAATAAAATGTTAAAACAAAAGGGGATCTGGTGTCCTCGTTGTTTCAGGGAATCGTGAAGGAAGGGTAGTGAAGAGATGGGATGGGTCCAGGTAAGGGGGGCGGTGTCCGGCGGTCGCACGCGCTTCCCTGTCTCCTTGGGTCGAAGCACGAGGGGGCAGCGGCTTCAGCATCACGGCCGGTCCTCTCCCGGCCCCGACAACGGAGGGAAGTGGCGGCTTCGGCATCCTGGTCCGTCAGCGGCGTCACGCGACCGTGGGTCCGGCGACTCGCAGCTCCGGCAGCGCGGGAATCCCTCCGCACTCCCTTCCTGGACCCACGAAGACACCAGTGTGTATGCACAAGGAAGAGACCGGTCTCCTGAGGAGAGGCACGCTCAGCCATATCACCCTGTAGCCCAAGACTGGTTGCCCACTGAAGCTAAGCAGGGCTGAGCCTGGTTAGTACCTGGATGGGAGACCTCCTGAGAAAACCAGGTTGCTGCTGGAAGAGGTGTTAGTGAGGCCAGCAGGGGGCGCTCACCCTGTGGTCTGTGTGGGTCCTAACGCCCCTGTATAGTGACGGGGACACTATACTGTCAAAGAGCACCGTCCTTCGGATGAGACGTTAAACCGAGGTCCTTTCTCTCTGTGGTCATTAAAAATCCCATGGCACTTCTCGTAAAGATTAGGGGTGTAACCCCGGTGTCCTGGCCACATTCCACCCATTGGCCCCTGCCAATCATGGCCTCCTAATAATCCCCATCCACTGAATTGGCTCTATCACTCTCTCTCTTCTCCAACTATAGCTGGTGTGTGGTGAGTGCACTGGCGCCGTTGTACTGTGGCTGCCGTCGCCAGGGCTGGACTGGGACAAAAAATCTGCCCGGGCATTTTGGCCCAGACTGGCCCACTATATAACACAACTGAACTTTGCACACCCTTGAATATGTATACCAACTCCTATTAAAACCACTTATGCCATAAGTGAATAGGAGTGAGTAAGAGTTAACGGATGAAATAAGTACTAAGTTGAACTATACTCCACAGAAAGCTATAAGCTGTAATAGCAATAACAATTTTTCCCACAGGATTTTGTGAAATCTGTGCTGAGTGCACCTCTGTCCCGTTAGGGGGGTTCGGGGGCATGCTCCCCCGTAAGAAAATTTTGTGCTTTTTAATGTTAAATTCATCAATC